ATTTTTACATAGTCTGGTTAATGCAAACAGTACATTTTTGGATTTTTTGTAAAAATGCGACAAGTAGGATAAAGTCATTCAAATGGAATATGTGTGTTTTAAGCTTAGATCAGGTTCATCTTTCCTATTGAGCGACGCGTCGCCAATGATTTGTTCAAGGACCTTTAGAAAAAAAGTTGAAAATCTCACAAATTCTTTTGCTTTTAAAGTTTCTGGCTCTGAAGAATGATGTCATTCTCACATTTTGAGGATTAGATCCCTTCTGAAGACTTATTTGTATCAAAGAGGTATATTTTCTTTTAATTTTAACACCTACATTTGTTCTTAGACCGCATTGTATTCTTTTTAATGCATGAGTCTTGCATTACTGTACTGTATTCTTTATTCTCGAGGTTTTGTTTTCAGTTGTTTCTATCATGGTAATTATTATTCTTCCTTTACATGACTGTGTATTCTATTGTGGGTTTGTAGAGTTTGTTGTAATGCACTTTGCCTTATCATTATTATGCGTTTTCTGATTTCATACTGTATATTTGGAAACCTTTCCGCCCACACCTCTCTTACACTGTGTCTGACCATTTCTGTAAGTTTCCGAAACAGACAATCCAACACTCACACCCACTTCACGAAGCGCTTAGCCAACTGTGCAGAGGTACGAAAGGAGCCAAGATTTATACTTCGCTGTACTTTGTTTATCATCACACACAGCCAGGTTCTCATTTTGCCATCATCATTACGCATAGAATAAAACGGGCTGAACTGTTGTCCCCTCTCTAACTCTTCCCCTCAGCTCTCCGCCCCGTCCAATTCTTCTGGCCTCCCATTCTCCCTCCACACAACCAGGAATCGTAGGTGGACTTCCTACAGGAAACCCAGGGGCGCCGCCGGGGAGAATCTCCAGAGAGAAAGTCAAACAATGACACACAGGGACTTCTCCTCCTCACTCCAGACCAATTTAGGCAATGAAGCATGAGCGCTTGCTAATGAGACGAGGGGTAGGTCAGCACGACAGGTTAAGACAAAAACTAAGTGTCGGGTTAGTGTGGGAAGTGAGCGTGTGTGTGTGTGTGTGTGTGCGTCCACAGATTACAAACATGCCCAGTTATCCTTTAATACTTGTGTAGGTGGATTTCATGGCAGCCTCCCTTTGTTTCTGATGGTGAGAGGCTTCCAGTGTCTGCAGCCTTTCAATATATTAAGTAGAGACTGACTCATTGCAAAAACAATCACAGGCTATTATAGCCTTAACCTAGTAATGTAATGGAGAATGTATTTATGCATGACAAATCTCTCTTTTTAGGTTAGTTCCCTGCACAGTTCGCAAACCTTGCATAACTTTCAAGGGTAAGAACCATGTTGGCAGTGCATGTAGGTGGTACAAACTGTGTGTGCAATTACAGCACAAGCCCAACCTATTGAACTCTGGTCAGTGGCCTCATTTCACTGGCACAGACTCAATCATAACATCTTATCTATGCACATGCTGAGTCATGGAATTCAGCGGTGGCCAATAGCCAAGCAGCAGGGTTACTTATGGCTGTCATTGATTGGTTGATCCCTGAGCACAAAGCTGAAAGGGCACATACCAGGAACACAGCCTGAAGCAGAAACTGGCAGCAGTTTGCTCGCGCTTTACTTTACTCTCACATTCTTGTAGCTGTTTTCTTTTTTTTTTGTCTTTCTTTCTCCCCCCCCAACTGACAACCTACTTTGTCGTGTCACTCTCTTGCTTTTTCCTAGTTCCTCCCAGATCTGCCTTCATGTTCGCTCTCCACAGCTCCTCCAAATTACCATAGCCCATTACCCCTGTCCCTCTGTTGTGTAATTGTAGCTGGAGTAGGAAAACAGGGCCGCTCACGTCCAGAGGTCACCATTCCTCTGTGGCTTACATCCTGGTCCTTCATCTCCATGGTCACCGCGAGTCCAAACAGTGTCACCATCTTTTCTTTTTTCTTTTTTTTTATATCAAGGCTAGTTAAAAGTATCTCAGCAGAGCCCTATAGCCAACATTCAAACCATTAATCATATCCATAGCTCTTACTTCCTGCTGGAATTATCCATTAATAATGCATTCACATTGGAAAAGCAATACCATAACAAGGTGGAATTGGGATATAAAGCAAATGCAATCATTGCTACTGATTGATTTCACTGAGAAATATTTTCAGAGTTCTGAGATGAACCATTTGTTACAAAGGGGCTAATGCACAGGAACAACGGTGATGCTTTTTAATCATTTTGCTCCCTCAAACATACGCTTGGCACAGCCGAGGTTGCTGATTTGGGGTCAGTTCCCTCATACATAAATCGGTCATTCAGGATGCGGAGTTAAACTGGCTCTAAAGCAGAATAGGGGCAGACTACAGAGGCCTTTCTATCAGCCTGTCCCCATCTGCAAATCTGTAATGAGCAAGGGAGTTGAAACAGTGGGGAGAGAAGAGAACCTCAGTTCAACTGAGGCAGGCACACTTTCTAATGGAAATTCAGATACAATCATCCCAGAATGCACTTCTCCCTGCCTAATAATCGGCCACTAGAACAAGGCAGCCATTGAGAGCAGAGTGACTGTAATCTGGTCCACCAAACTCCAAAGCTGCCCGCTATAATTAGCTCCTTTCTCCATCAAACACAGACTTACACTGACTCACAAGCAAACCTCTCCTGTAATACAAGAGAGAGGAGATTTAGTGAACGCCGCATTTTCAGATGAGTGGGGGGAAATTTTCCATCCTTGGCTCATGGAGTCACCCCACACTGACAGGTACGCTAGCTGTAAAATCTGAAAATGAGCAGGTGAGAGGCCGCCGTTTCATTCAGCAGAATAGTGATTTTGTGGAAATAAAAGCCTCAGTCGACGTGGAAATAATATGGTACGGGGCGAGTTTTTAAATTGACTGGTATTACAAGCCCACAACACTTTGTTCCTTATTAAAATAAACTGCTCACAGTTAGGCTCGCTGATTTAGGTCATGATTCACACTGCAAGGCTCAAGTAATTTCCAATTACCGCTCTCATTTGATTACTTGTCCAGTGTTTGAGAAATCAAGTGAAGTTGGCGACTTGGATGCGATACAGGGCCTCTGTTTCTGTTACAAAGCAGGCCAAACCGGCCGTGTTGATCCGTTCACATAATATGGGGCAGAGTCTCGCTGTCCTCGTCAAAGCACGCATCTCTGGCCTACATCCTGACGAGCAGAAAGCCCGCCGTCCTCTAATCTCAGGAACATGTTCAGGCCCAGGGACGAGAACACGATCGGCGGCCCAGAGACAGACAGGGCTGAGCGGGTTGCTGGTAGCTAGCCTGCTGCCTGGGCAAATGGCACGGCTATTAGGGGGAAGAAGAGGCTTCCTGGAGAGGTGTGACTGCACTGCAAAGGGCCCAATCAAGCAGAGAACAGAAGTGCTGACAGCTGCTAATGCATTTACCTGAGAGCACAGAGACTGTCCTACCGGGGAAATTTTAGCAAGTGTGTTTACTTCCTGCTTGGCATGGGCTTCCCAAAAAAAGGCTTGATTAAGATCAAAGGGGGAGAAAACTCATCAAAAAGCGCTCAGTCACAGCACAGCCGGCAAATGAGGGCCGATGAGTCAACTTACTTGCTTGAGAAAGGCTGCACAAGTCACAACATCGGAGCGTTTATGTATTATCAAGTGACACGTATTTAAAAATGCCCCATCTATCTAGCAATGACACAGCAGTACAGACCAAACTACCCCCCCTCAGTCTACCCTCCTCTGTCTTAAGGCCACATCACAAACCTGCACACTCCCTTGGCTATCTCACTCTGTGAAATCTCTCACAGTCCATCTTAAATCAGCATTTCTGAAGCACGTTGAAGGATCACTTTTGAAATGAAAGCACTGACGTCCAGTGGAGGGACTGGAAGGGAGTGGCTGCCAGGGCAATGATCACTTTGCAGTGGCAGCGAGATTAAGCCGTGACATATCAGTGACTAGTCCGGGCACAAAAATAGACCGATGGGAGCGTTAATTGTTATCATTAGGTCTCACTAAACCTTATCTCGGACCATAAAGAGGCAGAACATGCTGTGTTCAGAGAGTCGAGGTGAACAACCCCTCACCTGGGACATTTAATAAGCTGGTAGATAGCCAGAAATATGCTTTAACACGCTGTCGAGGAAGACTGGAGCTATTTGTGTGACAGGTACAAAATTAAAAGGGGAACTTCGTAGAATTACCTCCAGGCATTTGCTAACTGTGTCACCAGGAAGCTCTGTTATGTGCAACTTTGACATTTGCAAACTTAGCGGGACATTTAATAAGAGATTAATTCTCTTTTTTTTTTATATAAATATAGAGTATGAGCTTGATTTAGTTAAGATTTGTGGCTCCTATGAAGCTCAACATGTCAAATAAAAGCTTAAACTTCTTAATTATTCACTTAAATACTTCTTTTTAAACCAAAAGATGATTATAAATAAGCAGAACATGCAAATGAGGCAGCAAAAAAATAAAAAATAAATAACTGCTTGATTCTCCCAAACATCCCATTTCCTCCACAGCCATTTAAACCCCTTTGATCTCCTTATATTAATGACATTATGTAGAGTTTCTCCAGGCCTGATAAGACCAATGCATCCCAGGTGTTGTTGAACAAACAATTTAAATTATTTTTATTTTTTTTCTATGACCCCCTTTCTCCAAAGTAAACTTGCCATTGAAACAGCCCCAGACAGACCGTGACCTGCCTTAGATAAGCCTTTCCTTTCCCTACACCCATGCACCATCATTGGAATAATCATTATTATTACTATTAAGGGCTCCAGCCAGCCCGCAGGGGGACTGGGGTTGACTCCCAGTTTCTTGTTATTCGCAGCCTTCAAGCTGCAATGTAGTGGAAGTAAAAAAAAAAGAAAAAAAAAAGGAGGAAAACGCCTTGAAAAAAAAAAAAAAAGCTTTCCAACACTCTCCTAAAATCGCCCATTCACGTGTATTAAAGGGTGGAAAAATAAAAGAGTGTGCGTTGTAGTCTACGTACCATATCATTCCTGTGTCTCCAGCTCCTCGTCCACTCCTTTCTTCCTCTCTGTGCGACCCACAGCCGGGGAAAGACTTTCAAAAAAAGCAGACAAAAACACTCCCTACAAAGCGCTCACATCGATTATTTTCCGCTTTTTCTCTCCCTCTCTCTCTCTTTCTCTCTCTCTCAGTAAACACGCTGATGTCTGTCCATCGCTTCTCACATTAAGCGCTCGTTTTCACCAGTCTGAAGTTTTCAAACACGGGATGCATCGCTGTTTCTCTTTCCCTTTTCTGAGCAGAGAGAAAAAAAAAAAACTAAATCAGGAAAAAGAAAAAAAAAATGAACTCCAAGTCTTTTCCAGCTCGACTGTGTTGCGAGGAGAGAAGAAAAAAAAAAGGGGGAGGCGTTGGAAAGGCTGTTTCGGTGTGTTTTCCCTTCTTGCTTCACCACCACGTTGTTTTGACCAATTATTATTTCCTTTGTTGTGTCAAAAATAAAAAAAAAAAAGAGTCCGTGAGGAAACGCGATCTCCAGCCGTGACTGAAGCAAAGCGCTGCGTTCACAGGAGCAGCAGCTCGTAGGAAAGCCTCCTATTTTCCTTTCTGATGTTAAGCCCCTTGCAGGATAAATGTGTGACGTTGTGTTTAAGTCTATTTTTTTTTTCTGCTTCCCAATAATGGCGGACCTTCTCCCGAATCCAGCATCTCCCCTCCTATTCACAGAGAGCACAGTCTCGCCCAGCGGTTCATGGACACAATTACAACGCAGCGCTCAGACGCTCATGATACGCTGCTCAGAGCTGCACGTTATAAAGGCTGCTGGATAAAAAACACTGGGCTGCTAAACAGACTGTATGTTAAATGTGTATATATATATATCATGACCGTGTCAAAGATCATGTAAAAATTTACATCAGTCCATAAAGTTCAAAAATAGACCCGGTCTTTTTGGGTGTTGAAAATAATTTTGTATGAATAAAAATATATATATATTTATAGGTAACACTGATTTTTTTTTTAAATAAAGAAAAAAATGAAATAATTAAAAAAAAAAAAATACGATTAAAATAGAAAAGAAAATAAATACTAAAGACATGATCTGTAGCAATGACAAAAAATAGCTTATTTTAAAAAAGTAAAAAAAGAAAAATAATTCCCATACAAAAGTGAAAAAATATTAAACAAAAAATAAAGAAATAAAAAAATCACAACACTGACAAGCAATATTAAAATTGCAAAAATCACATATATCCATGACAAAGCCTAATAATATATATTTTTAAAAACTTTGTTAAAATAAATATCCGTAACACTGACAAAAAAACCACTTAAAACAATTAAATATTTTAAAAACATTACAAAAACAGAACAATCTAATAACAATCTAAGAAAGGTTAAAGAAATATTGATCACAATATCTAAAAATCAATAAATAATAAGAAAGACAGAAAATAAAAGAAATATTTATAACAAACTAAATTGTCGAAAATGTTAAAAAAGAAAGTAAATGTTAAAAGAAATGTTAAAAGAAATTTTCATAACATTAATAAATACTAAAATAAATAAATAAAAGGAATATCCTTCACAGTGTCTAAGTTTATATGCAAACTAAAATTTTTATTAAATATCCATAATTACAACTAAAAATATTAAAACATCAAGGAAAATTGAAAATTTAGGAAAATGTCCATACAGTAAAGAAAAATACTAAAAGCACAAACAAAAATTAAGATAATGAATGACTGAATGTGCTTAAAACACAAAAATAAAATAAAATAAAATAAAAAATAGCAATGACTATAAACATAAAAACCACAAGAAATTAGAGAAGAAATATCTGTAGAAATAATTATATAGATAGATATTAAAAACAAAAAACATATCCATATATATATACGCATGTATGCACACAAATCCTTATATACATTTAAAAAAAATACTTATTATGAACTTTTGAAGATGATATCAAGATTTACATACCAAAAAGAGTACTATTTTTCAAAGGGTTGCTTTACATTGTATAGGTGGAAAAAAAATAACTAAAAATAATTTTTAAAAATACTTGTTTTAAATTGCATTTAATTTAATTTGATTAATTTAATTTTTAAAATACAGTTTAAGTTGGTTGTATTTCCATTTTCTGTTGCTTATTACTTTCACCACATCACAAAAGAAGATGTAACACTTTTTTGTGTTTTAGTTTTTATTTCGTAAAATGGGCGGCGTTATTTATTTTGATAAACATATACATGCAAAGTATACGTACTGTAGTGCAATGCATCTTCTATTTATCAAGATAAATACACCAGCATGACAGATCTCAGCTCTGTGCGATTACACTGATCTATACCTGACGTCTGACTCATCTGTCATATTGCAGTCTGTTCCATTGCAGCATTATTTCAGTGCTATAAAAAAATAAAAAGAAGAAGAAGAAATGTGTTCATGTCATCATGATTGTAATTAATTGGTTTTATTTTGGTCCATTTGCCCTCTTGGCCCCCTGGTTCAAAAACCACTTCCTCTCACAGCTGATCCCCATTTCCCCCTACATATCCAAACATTAGTCATCCCCTAACAGACTTTAATGTTCCACGGCTGCATTGCATCTAATAGATTTGTTGTGCATTCACCCAAGCACTCCTACCTAAAACCTTATCGAGCAGCAGAGAGAGGAAATATTTAATACCTTTCCTGAGAAAATCAATCATCTCAAAGGTCAGTCCTAATTATGTGTTGTGCACGGAGTCATCCACTTGGTAAAAGAGTTACTGTGAAGCGGTTTGACCTTTGAGGATTTTAACCACTCAACGATAAAAATAAAAATAAAAAATTACGCTTTTAAAGGAAGACAGTAGAGCTTCTTCCGCATCGGAAAAACGTCTGCAGTGTTGTACTGAGACAACAGCCGGTAACAGCTCAAACAGATGTTTAGTGTCTTGCAGTGGGACCGTCTCTTGTAATTCTTTAGTCCTTCCTTGAACTTCCTAGAACATGCAATTCCGATCTGGTAATCTAAACTCTGTGTGATATGAAAACAAATACTTTGTGTGGCTGTAACACTCAATTTATTATTTCGATCTGGAATTTGGCACTTTAGGAGACATTTAAGACTGAAACACTGCACCCTGTAAACAACGGAGACGTCATGTCTGAAACTCGTGTCAAGGTAAATGTTGTTGTGATATTTAACCTCCTGGCTGGTTGAATAGTAAAAGCAATACAAAAGAAATAATCATTTGCAGATATAGAAGTTTGATTTGTACCTATGTGAGATGTAATATTGTCATGTATGTAAGTTCACTCTGTGTGGTTTGACAGTTTGAAATGTGACCCACCATTGAACACACAGTCAAGCAGGGTTCAAGGTGCAGTGTCCTCCGTTTGAATAAGTCCACACGCTTCTGTCCAGTCACATTAGTCACTGTGTTCTCAGCGATATTTGCATGACCCCAATCACACAGAGCGAGATTAGCAGGGGTCAAAGTTTCTGTTGAATAATCTGCCTCTGTTGTACGTCCCTTTCTCCTACCTCTGCTTTTTTTTTTCTCTCTTCTCTTTTACACAGACTGGCTTCTACAGCAAAACCTTTGCTCATTTAGCTTATTAAATCATGACACATAATGCTATTTGTGCTACATAAACATCACCGCATCGCTCTTGTTTTTATTGCTCTGAGCACGCCAGTATCAAAACACAGCTGCAAGCGTCATATGAAAGACAAACTCCTTTTGTTTACTCACTGGTTGGTTTTCCCTTTCATTTTATTTCTTCCCCTATCCCACCTCAACGCTCTCTGCATTTGCAGCTGAAATATTTCTGGGTCCCAAGGGCAGGCACATTCCTCCACTCACAGTTGTGCAATCCCTGACAATCACAGTCCCCCCCACCCACCCCTCCACCTCCATCCCCCCTCTGACTCCCTAAACGCCCAGAACGCTCAGAGGCAAGCTGTCCAAGCTGTCTGGGCAATGTTCTGCGGTGAACTGGCTGCCCAGCCAGACCAGTAAACAAACCCTGAGCCCTGACTCTGCAGAAAACAACCACAAATAATGTAACCTCAGGAGGGTGCAAATATATATCGCTAGCCTGTCTTTTCATTCTGTAATGAAAATAATTCTTAGGCGTGTGACAAATGTGATGTGGTGCACTTGACCACATACATGGTGAAATATTAAACGTGGCTAAAAAAAAAGACTTTCGAAAACAAAAGACGCTTTTTTTAAAATATAAAAAGGCGAGAAGTGACAGGAGTAGTACTGGTGACCTTCAAATTATCGGTGCCAAAGGAAAGGAATAATGATCAAGGAGAATGGAAGAATTACAACCAAAATAAATAGCACAAAAAATCAAGGCCCCGGCACTCAGGGTGGGTTTGAAAAGTTAAAAGCCTTTATTTCAGTGGGCTACAGACATTAAAAACACCAACGCCTGTCAGCTTGTGCCTTCGGAAGGAATCATCTTCTTTCTTTGGCCTTTAGGGGCGTCACGCAAGTACAACACAGGAAATACTGACAGGCTGTTACAAAACACTTTCCTAGTTAAGGATAGTGTACATATATAAAGGATAAAATTCACAATAACAAACAAACATTTAGATCTACTTTAACCAATAAGAGAAACCACAAATACAGACGCATTCAAGCAATATCACTACATAGTGTCTTCAGTGAGAGTTGAGCAGGGTCCTGGGAAGAAACTTTAGGCAAAGCAACTCAAGGAGATAAAAACAAATAAACAACAAAAACATAAACAATGACCCTAATTTGAAACCCACCTACTGACTATAGGACTAATGACTTTCTTATAAGCTCGCTGAGTATTTAATATAAAGACATAAAACAATAAACAAGATTATCTATCATTGTTGTTACTTTAAATAAAATATTTGTTAAAAACACACAGAAGCTAAAGAAAACACCTGAAGCTACATAAAGTAACATGAACAACACCTCTGTCGCTCATGTGACCAAAAGCTCGGCTTAAAAGCGACGTCGTAGAGTGACGCTGGTTCTTGTAGTTCTGTATCACATTCTATAAGTTCAAAATGTGGCAGCGAAAACTACACTTCCCGCCATGCAACGTCACTCAGCGTAGTTCTTCCACTTCCTATTAGCTTGGGGAAGATAGCGGACGAGCGGTCGATAAAGTACCGATGAATTTATGTAAACCCTCTGCATAATTGCTCAGGAACGCACTTTCTGGACCCTCCAAGGTTCATATTTAGGAGACGAAAATGGTAAATATGTCACAAAAGGACTCTGTTCTGTTTTCTTCTCATGCTAGTAGCATATTGAAGCTAGTTTGCTAGCGTTGAGAGTTCGCCATATAACCTCTTTCAGTCAGGAGAAACGTTAGCTGTTAGGCCAAAGGTTTGAAGTCACGACAGCACAGAGACCAACCAAAACTTCGTTTTAATAAATCCTATCGTGTTTATTCTGACGCTGTCAAATTCTTGCACAGGGATGTTGTGAAATATAAAGGGGTGTGGTTAAGCTAACGTTATCTGTCACTTTAGATAAAGCTAATGCTATCAGTGTATATCTAGCTAGTTACCTGTGGATAGACACTTTTAGCTATTAGGGTAATAAAATGGATATGCACAGACAACACCTGTACTTAGATTATAAACGACAGATCGTAATAGCCCAAAAAAGTATCTATAGATACTCGTGGGGAGCTAGTTTAAGAATTCTATGTGCCTCATGTCTGT